AAATACATTTCCTAACATGTAACAATAATTAACATGTAACAAAAATTAACACAAGTAATAGAATAATCGGAAAATAATCTCCCAAAATGTAACAATAATAACATCGAATAAGACGAGTAATAAAATAACACAGAAAATACATATACCAAAATATAACAATAATAACAGTGAATAAAACAAGTAATAAAATAAAAGAGAAAATATATCTCCGGAAATCTACCAATAATGACTTAAAGTAAAAGATGTAATAAAATAATAAAGAAAATACATCTCATTAGACGTAATAATAATAACAGGGAGTAATACAAGTAATGAAATAATAGTGAAAGTACATCTCCCAAAATGTAACAATAAAAAGAGTAAGAAAAACAAGTAATAAAAACATTGAGAAAATATATCTCCCAAAATGTAACAATAATAACAGGGAGTAAGACAAATAATAACATAAGAGACAAAATGCATCTTCCAAAATGAAACAATAATAACAGAGAGTAACACAAATATTGAACTAACAGACTAAATATATAATATTTATAATAATTATAACAGGGAACAAAAGAAGTAATAAAATAATACATAAAATACATCTCACAAAATGTAACAATAATAACAATGAGTAACAGAAGTGAAAAAATATTAGATAAAATACATTTACCAAAATGTAACAATAATAACAATGAGTAACACAACTAATAAAATAATAGAGAAAATACATCTCCCAAGATGTAACAATAATAACAGGGAGTAAGACAAGCAATAAAATAAAGGAGAAAATATATGTACCAAAATCCAACAATACTTAAAGTAAGTAAAACAAGTAATAAAATAATAAAGATAATACATCTCCCAAAATGTAACAATGATAAAAGAGAAAACACATGTAATAAAATATTAGATAGGTAACAATAATATAAGACAGTAACAAAAAGAAGAAAATTGTACAGAAAATATATCTCCCAAAATGTTACAATAATAACAGGGAATAACACAAGTAATAAAATAATAGAGAAAAAACATATCCCAAAATGTAACAATAATAAAAATGAGTACCACATGTATTAAAATAATAGAGAAAATGCATCTCCTAAAATGTAACAATAATAAGGGGAGTAACACAAGTAATAAAATGACAGGGAAAATACATAGGGAAAATTCACCGCTCAAAATGTAACAATAATAACACGGAGTAAAATAAGTAATATAATTGTTATGGGACCTTACCCATAATAACATAATGGACTATTCCATACGTAATAAATACTGCGCCTCAAGAGGAAGCGGGGAGTTCCGTCTGAAGTATGGAGTGATGTCCGACAGGAGTCTGTCAGTCAGGCAAAGCGACCGAGTAAGTCAGTCGAGTCAGAGGCAATCCGAAACAGAGTCGTGTTCAGACAATTACTACTAAATCTGATTGTTCGTACTAACACTTTTCTAGCTGTGTATATATTCCGGTTTGTAATATATCTGTGTTATTCCACATCCGTATTCGGGTTCTTCTTTATTGGTTCTACCTTGGACTATCACCATGGTACGAGGAATCGGGCCATAACAGTGGCGACGAGGATTCGAACTCATTCGGTGAAAGAAAAAAAAATTTCGTTTGCCACAGCATAACAATAATAATGGTGAAAATACATCTCTCAGAAAGTAACAATAATAAAAATGAGAGAAATAACAATGAGTAAAACAAGTAATAAAATAATAGGGAAAATACATCTTCCATAACTTATAACTAAAGGAAGACTTAACTAATCCGATGCATTCTGTTCTCTGGCTGGCAAGGTAATCTAAAGATTACATTTTGCTATATGTATTTATAAACTGAAGTGAATTTTCTGGATTTTTTCAAAATAAGAACTCTCATCATATACTTAAAGGGGAACAAAGTGAAAGTAAAACAATACAGTTTCTGTACTGTTGTAACAGTACAGTGTATGCGCGTTTTATGACAAGTCATAGTGGAGTGATATTTAGCAAGATATTATTTCAGAACTTTGTGGCGGAGTAATGATTTTATTTAATATAAATTAGGAAAGAAAAATGAATATAATTGATAAAATTTTAAATCATTCAAGTGAAAATGAGTGTAAATTATGAAAGCTAGAAAATATCTTTGAATCGTAAATGTTTTAAATATTTTAATTGAAACGAAATAAATTCAATTGTTAAATATACTCAAGACCCTGCGTTAAGTGTCGCTGTCATGCATACACATATGTATACGTTCGTGTGCGTGCATGTGCATTTGAGATCAAAATCACATCGAAATACAGATGATAATGCACTTGAAAATAAGTTCGTATTCGCGCCAATTAAAACACAGTCACGCCCACATACGCACAACTCGAGGTCCTCGACAAAATCCAGAGGCGAATATGCAAGATAATAGGTCCTGATCTGGCATCTAGTCTACAATCGCTATCCCACAGACGTGCTGCGACCTCCCTCTGTCTCTTCTACAAGTATTTTCACGGCAACTGTTTCGACAAGCTACTTTCGC